ACACATTAGCATCCTTAATAAAGCAGGGATGGTTGCCCTGTCTTCCTAAGGGCTGTTATGCTGGACCCATTCCCCCTAGTTCTGGTATCCTTGAGTCTTCATCCAAGAAGGTCTCGTTTGGGGGGGGGTGTATTTTGCCTTCCAGCACTCAGCCCTTGAAACATTCTTAATCAGAGGTCATTTCGGGGGAGATCGCGGGGGATCGCAGTTCCCCCGGGTGAGGTACGGGGGGGCGGGGCACATGATGAACCCCCGCCCCCCGCTTCCGGCCCTCATTCAGCCAGGAGGAGGCAGGAGAAGAGGGAGGGTAAGTTGCTTCCTCCCTGCCTCTCCCCACCCCTGCCTGCCTGGGGCCAGGGAGGGCCTTCGCGGAGCTCCTTGCACTCCCGCCGGCCTTGCAGGTCCACCACCGGGCCCCTCATGGGGCTCGGCAGTGGAGCTGCAAGGCCGGCGGCGGCCGGGACCGTTGGGGGCGGGGTGTGTGGCCTTATGACAAACGTCCGGTGATGTCAGGGGGTGTGGCATATGCTAATGAGTTATGCTAATGAGTTCCCCTAGCTCTTTTTCTACGAAACAACTCCTGGTCTTAATAGAAAACAAGATCATTCTTTTTGAGTGTGGGCAGTCTGCCTACTGCTAAGAAGGCACCCCTCTCCCTTTCACATCCAGGAGGACTTCCAAGTCAGAAGATTTGATTTCCAGGCAGGATTGTGCCCCAACGCTTCTCCCTCTGTCCTCCTGTTTCTCTCAGTGCAAGCACTGGGTAGCAAGGCAGAAATTCCCCATATGTCAGAAACCGGATAAGGTCTTTGTTGTTGCCCTGCTCGTAAGCAGAAGCTTGTGCAGGAACAGCCCAAACGGCATCACTGAGGCTTAGCATTAGCAATCATTCCCCTTCCCACCCTCAGCTTTAGAGTATTATTAAAATCTTGCAGAAGTACAAAATATTAAGATGGTTATTATATATGCAGTATCGAGTTGATCTGTCTGTGGAACAGTAACACCTGTTCTCAACACAGCAGCACCCCCCAAAAAAGCCGTCCGTTCCTATCCCTCCAAAATAACATCCATTCCTATCCCCCCCGCCATTTTATTAAAAGAAAGAAATGTTAAAAAATAAACAGCCAAACCAGAAAAAAAACATTTTCATACGTACCTATTAAAATGCACTGCTTCCTGTACTTCTGGGAAGATATTTAGCTAGTTATAGCCCAGGCTTGCAAAAAAAAAAAAAAAACAAAAAAAAATACACAAGATAGGCAGCTGTATCTTTTAGGTGGGTAAATTTTCAGGGATCTTGGAGGCTGATGTGTATTTGGTCATCACAGGTACCTATTAGATCAGGGGTGTCAAACATACGGCCCATGTGCTGGATCTGGCCCATAAGCAACTTCCTTCTCCTTCCTTTTCCAGAGCTGCTTCTGCAGCTGCACCACAGCATGCTTCCCCCCCACCCAGTTCCCTCAGTGGCTCTTTGCTTTCTCTTTCCTGACTCTTGCCTTCCCCCCAGCTCCCTCAGTGGCTGCTTCCTGCGGGGGAGATGCTAAGACAAGCCTCTCTCTCTCTCTCTCTCTCTCTCTCTCTCTCTCTCTCTCTCTCTCTCACAGACACACACACGCACACACAGAGAGAGCGAGAGCTTCTGCTTCCTTCTTCAGGGCTGCTCCTCCTCTTTTGGGGAGGGAGAGGGAGGAAAGAGAGAGAGAACAAAGTTGGAGTCCCACGGCAGTTTTTAAGACCAACAATGTTTTATTCCAGGTATAAGCTTTTGCGTGCAAGCACACATCTTCAGAGAGAGGATGGGTGGATGGATGGATTCTTCTGACAAGCACAATTTACACTGAGGAAATTATTTTGGCTTATTCTGAAAAGTTAAAAAAAAAAAGATTGGATTTCTCTGTTCCTATCTGGATTTTATTTTCTTTCAAAAATACCCTGATTAGGAATTAGAATACTTGGACTGGTCCTTATATCTTGGAGAGTGGAGTGATTTCAGATGCCAAATGATAATAACGGTAATAAGACAAGAAAACTAGGTCTTAATTCAGTCATGGAGGATGCACTGTCTTGAGCTTCATTATCAATTGCAATTCAGCAGTTTCTTTCTAATCTCTCTTTGAAATTCCTTTGTAAGAGCACTGCTGCTCTTAGGTCAGCAACTGAATGTTGTGATTTCTGATGTCATACTTACCGTATGTCCATTTATTCTTTGCATCCTCCTGGACAGAATCCTCTTGGACAGAACTGAGACCTAGGTTTCCTGTCTCGTTACCAATGCTGGTATCTCCACGCCTACTACCCCTTGGCATATCACACCTAATCCAATCAAGCTTGCTATTGTCATTCACCTGCTATTGCCATTTGGCATCTGAAATCACCTTTATAAAGTTTATATCTGGTACCTCGTGTTACATTTTATGGCACGCATGACCCGGCCGAATGAGGTGACATTTATGTCAGATCCAGCCCTCATAACAAATGAGTTTGACACCTCTGTATTAGATAAGAACCACGACACCTCGAGTAATGATAACACACTTCCCTCTCTCCATGCATACAATGTTTTCCTCCCCTTACATGTTTTTTTTTCATATGGTGAAAGAGCTGCAGGCTTCATTTTACAAGGAATATACTGCCATTTTTACTTGCTCCTTCAGAGGTGGAGTCTGTGGTCACATTTGGCTGATAGAAGACTTTCATTTACTGAAAGCTTTTGCCTTGGCAGGCTCGGCAGTGTTGAATATATCCATCATTATGTCCTTTTTCCAGGCCTCTTAGGGCACAAACAGATGCAACAAAAATCATAGATGTCTTTTTCATCTACAGAAGGTGCAAACCCCCATACATGTGCAATCCCAACTCAAGGATGAGACAAAGAAAAAGAAACTAAATTATAGCTACGCACGTAGTGCTAATGTACAAATCATCATATATAGTTTAATTATACATTCAGAAGTGCTAAGGTGTCATTTTAAAACCACAATCCCTTCTGCATGTAAGTACCTTTCCTAATATAATGACAAATGTCCAATCATATAAACACAGGTTAAGAGGTACAAATTATATCCATATACAAGAACCAATACCAAACGTGTTTTGGCCAAAAGCCTTCCTCAGTGGTACAACTCAAACAGAGCACTCCATAGATTTAACAAAAGTATACATACACAGAATGGAGCTTACACTGAGATGTTCACCCATGAATCTGCTTAGGCCCAATCTGCAGTGCTCAAAGCTTCAGTGGAGTGCTCAGGTACAGATAGAAAAGAATCAGCTGATTCTTTAGTTTGAAGGGGAACAATCTGTTTCCCACTAAGATTGATGACCAAGTTCTCTCCATCTTGATGACCTGGTCTTAATGGCACAAAATGCAATGGGTCTTTATCAACTCTTGAGGAGATTCTATGAATATTGTTTGCAGGACAAATTACGTCAGGAGTCATGGTATTTGGGAACAGACCTCCTTGGTCTAAATCAGGGTTCCTCAGCATGGCACCCCTGAGCACCACGGTGCTTGCCAGTATTTCCCTTGGAGCCTCCTGAGCTTTTCAGAAAGTGGGCAGGGCTGTTGTAAGTCAGGGCTTGTTATTGGCTGCCCTCTTTCAGATGAGAGAGTTTTCCATTGGAGGATCAGGAGGACTGGTAAATATCTGGGTTTTCTTTAGTCCGTGTGTGGTTTCGTTCCCCCTTCAAGGTTTCCTTCTTCCCAGGAGGTACTGGAGCAAGGCTCTATTTCCAAAGGCCACCATTGGGTTGGTGTTCACCACTCTCAAAATTCCAAAGGTTCCTGCAGGCTCAACAGTTTGGGGATCCTCGTATAGATGGAGCATTGGTCAAATTACCACTTCTAAAGACCTAACAGTATTTTTTTGTGTGTGAACAAAAATCAGGTGCCCAGATACTGTACATTAAGATAAAGATGACTGTGGCCCCGGTCACACGGGCCGGATATCGCGGCGGGGGGGAGGCGTGGCTAATCGCCCTGGCGCAGTTTGATCTGCGATTACGTGATCAGATGCGCCAGCGGCATACCACGGGTCCTTCCCTTGGCGCCGGCGGGTAAATGAGGGACCGGAGGGGAATGCCGTGCGCCGGGGCGATCACACCACAGGCGTCTGGAGGTGTCATGGCAGGACCAGGGGGTGTGACGCAAGCAAGCCAAAGTCCAGGAACAGTCCGAGGTCAAGCCGAGCAAATCAGGTAGCAAGGTTCAAACAGGTTTAAATCACAGTCCAAAAGCAGGGTCAGACATACCAAGGTTTCAAGTCCATAAATCACAATGATACCAGAGGAGTCAGAGATGAACGCAGGGTCAACAAGCCGAGGGTCAAAAGCCGAGGATCAAGCCGATAAGAATTCCACAAGGTCTGGAGCAGAGATGCAAGGATTCAGGTCCTGACAAACAACATTTGCCAGCACAAATGACTGCTGGCAACAGACTTGCAGATATACAGTGCTAGCTAATCAACTCATTAGCTAGCCGGGAGCAAGGTCAGGATCCTGTCAATAGTCAGGGCTGAGAGATCTTCTGGCACGCATGCGTGCATTCTGCCTTCGCTCTCTCAGCTGCTGTCTCCTTACATTCCGGAGCCTGGTTACAGGTGGGGGCGAGTCTGATGAACTACTGGGCTGCAGCAGAGACTGATCCCTTGCAGGTGTTCCCTGGGAGGCTCTATCCTCCTCACCACTTAGATAGCTTTCAGCTACAGGATCCAGTCTTTGCCTTTCTGCTGCAGTACTGTCCTCAGGAGCCTCGGGTGCGCTCCACTTCCCAGATGTTGGGGTGTGATCGCGCCCGGATAATCCGCCCACCATCGGTGCCTCTCCCGCAGCAACTTTGCCGTGTGATCGGGGCCTATCAGTCCAAAAGCAGCCCAACATTTCCCTAGAAGTTGAGGCAGAAATATCACTAATTGTTGTTTTTTGATTTCTTTGATGCTTGTTTTTCTCCCCGCTTTGATACAGTACTTCAGGGTTTTTTTAAAAAATCTCTCTTACAGGCAAAGTATGCATTGAACCACTTCAATCGGAAGCTGTCCCTGGAGCCTAAGGTGTCCATCAATGCTAGAATAGTTGTGGTCGGGTCATCAAATGTTGGAATTTCCTTCCTCGAAACACTGGTTTTTTGGTAAGTCTTTAAATTATATGTGACTTGCTACATTTTAATTTTCATCTCGTTCACTTTACAGAAGATGGTTGGGTAGTGAAGGGCGGGGTATAAATCCAATCCTCTTCTTCTTCCTCTTCTTCTTCCTCTTCTTCTTCCTCTTCTTCTTCCTCTTCTTCTTCCTCTTCTTCTTCCTCTTCTTCTTCCTCTTCTTCTTCCTCTTCTTCTTCCTCTTCTTCTTCCTCTTCTTCTTCCTCTTCTTCTTCCTCTTCTTCTTCCTCTTCTTCTTCCTCTTCTTCTTCCTCTTCTTCTTCCTCTTCTTCTTCCTCTTCTTCTTCCTCTTCTTCTTCCTCTTCTTCTTCCTCTTCTTCTTCCTCTTCTTCTTCCTCTTCTTCTTCCTCTTCTTCTTCCTCTTCTTCTTCCTCTTCTTCTTCCTCTTCTTCTTCCTCTTCTTCTTCCTCTTCTTCTTCTTCTTCTTCTTCCTCTTCTTCTTCCTCTTCTTCTTCCTCTTCTTCTTCCTCTTCTTCTTCCTCTTCTTCTTCCTCTTCTTCCCATCTAACTTTCTTGGAAAAGGCATGCTAATATGGACCCACAGAGTTCTGCCCCCCTCCAGTTGTTGGGAGGGATTCTCTCCATGCAGCAAACCTGGGTCCTGTGGATGCACAGCTCTTTGCTACAAAGAGAGATGACATGTGGACCGTTGTGGCCCTTTTCAGACGTTACTGTCATGTGCATCAGGAGGCTGGCAACTGCATGTGGATCCTCTTCTTGATAGGTATGGTTGCCATGTTGTCTGAAAAGGGCAGTGCATGGATACATGTGAGCCTTGTCGTGTGTTCAGAGGCTGTACACGTGGGCAAGATTTGTGGGTTTCCCGCATATCAGGAGGATGCAGGTAGCGTGGGCTTCCAGCACACACAATTGTCAGGCTCCTGGTATGCACAGGCATAACATCTGAAGAGGGCTAAACTTTTCCCTGCAAAGGAAGATGGGCTTGGCTGCAGCCATGGCCCAGAGGACCAAGCTCTGGAGAGCGCTTGATTCCCCCTCCCTTGTACAGATGGATGCCCTGTGGCTGCAGAGGAAAGAGGAAGAGACGGCTAAAGGGCCAAGGAGCTGACACGCTTCCTCCCAGCTCAGGTACCAGCATGAGGCAGATCTGGCTGGCTTCAACTGGACTGAAACGCTTCTTTAAAAACCTTGCCTCACCGTGCAACACCCACCCCACGAGCCGAGATCGACCTCATAGTGCAACACCTACCTCATGGACCAACATCCACCTATGCCAACCTCTACCTCATCAAACATCCATCTGTGCAAACCTCCAACTCCTCAAACATGCACCCAGACAAGTGAGCCCTTTTGACTGCACCCAAGGTATCCCCATCCACAGCAGTAATGTCTACAATAAGGAGGCAGGTGGGTTACCACCTCCCAGGCCCAAGGGGAAGGGTTGGCCACCCCCAGAATCCATCTCCACAACAAGGTGGGCTGCTGCCCAAGCTCTGTCACCCGGAGGAGGCAGGAGGGTGACTGCCTCCCAGCCCCGAGGAGAAGGATTGCCCATCTACAGCACCGTGTTTGCGATGAGGAGGCAGGCAGCACTTGCCCCCCCCAGCCAATCCTCACCAAACCTGGAGGGCAGGTGGAGGGTCATCCCGGGGAGGTCTGTGAGTTAGATGCCTCTAGCTTGCAGAGGGGTTGTTCGATGCACTCCTCCTGAACCTGTGGCTGTGATTTCCCCAGAGAGCACTTTCCTGGGGGCACCTGCTTGGGGGGGGCACTATTCCCCCCCCCCACAGCCAATCCTCACCACACTGGGAGGATAGGTAGCCAGGCATCCCGGGGAGGCTGTCTGTGAGTTTGATACCTCTAGCTTGCAGGGGGTCCATTTGACAGACTCCTGAACCTGCGGCTGTGATTTCCCCAGAGAGCACTTTCCTGGGGGCACTTGCTTTGGGGGCTGTAACTTGGCCCCCCAAATCCAATCTTCACCAAACTTGGAAGACAGAGGAGATTCAGCTGGAGACTTGTTGCAAGTTTGGCATCTCTAGCCCGGAGGGGGGCGTTCTAATACATCACGAACCGCATGAAACAAACCAGTTCAGTAAACAGGAAAATGTTCCCTCTAAGCTGTGGAGTGAGCAAAATTTCTACTTTGTGAGCTACTGGCATTAAAGTTGTGAGTAATTCAGCTACTGCATTAATTAGTTTGTTCTGGAGCCATCCTTCCTGAGCTAAGACAGAAATGTGTGAGCCAGAGGCTAAAAAACTGTGAGCGAGCTCACACTAACTCAGCTTAGAAGGAACACTGCTTGTGGATCATGTAACCCCACAAACCACAAACTGGGACGAATGTCCATTTTTCCAGTTTGTGCCCATCCCCATTCCTTACTGCCTTGGATTTCTTTAAAGAGGATGCAGCTTCCGTTCAGCGAAGGAGGATTTGGTTTCCCTGATCTTAATTTATATCATCAGGCATACTTATTAGCTTGTACTAAATACTGGGATTGCTCCTTGCAGTTGGACTATCCATCTTGGGCTCCTCTTGCCTGGTGCCCCTCACTAAACGGAACACATTAGGGTCTAACTGATGCTAGAGTGGATCGTATTCCTCCTACAATTTCTGCAGCTAGAGAACACGGTGTCATGACAGTATCAGTCTAATCTAATCCATGTTCACATGCTTCTGTTAAATGGCAATATTTACAATTGCAACCTTTGTTGTTGTTCAGTCGCACAGTCGAGTCCGACTCTTCGCGACCCCATGGACCAGCTCCCGCCAGGCCCTCCTGTCTTCCGCCGTCCTCTGAAGTTGGCTCAATTTCATGTTTGTTGCATGTATGACACTGTCTAACCATCTCATCCTTTGCCGTCCCCGTCTTCTTTGACCTTCAATCTTTCCCAGCATCAGGGTCTTCTCCAGTGAGTGCTCCCTTCTCATTGGGTGGCCAAAGTATTTGAGCTTCAGTTTCATTATCTGGCCTTCCAGGGAACAGTCAGGGTTGATTTCTTTTAGGATCGACTGATTTGATCATCTTGCCGTCCAAGGGACTCTCAAGAGTCTTCTCCAGCACCATAGTTCGAAAGAATCTATTCTTCGGCGCTCAGCCATCCTTATAGTCCAACTCTCGGAGCCATACATGACTACTAGGAATACCATTGGTTTGACCATGCAGACTTTTGTTGGCAGGGTGATGTCTCTACTTTTTATCATGCTGTTTAGGTTCGCAACCTGTTGGTATCTAAATATGGCCCTGTAGCATTAAGAATCAGTCAGAGTCCTCTTTGCTCCTGGAAGCTCTAATTGAATCAATGCAGAAAACAAAACCTACAATAGTTGTCTATAAATATTTATGTCACTTAATAAATATGATATTCAGAGTTTTCAGGAAGGAATGGAATAAGGAGCTAGATGACCCTATTTTACCAAAGCAATGGGATATGACCTTGTGGCTTACAACTTGAAGCTGTTAGATGCCCACGGTTTATTTTTTATTTTCTTACGGAAGAGGCAAATGCTAAATATAGACAGAATCAATTTAAAATCTTCTAAAGAGGAAGTTGTTTTTCCTCATTATTCTTCCCACCTAATTATTTTGCATCGGCAGTTAGCACTGGAGCAGACAAATATAATTCGTTTTCTGGCAGGCCAATTACCATGACTGGAGTTTTGAAAAGATTTACACTTAAAATGCTGAAAGAGAATCTTCCTTCCTCGTACCCTTTTAATGTTACTGTGGCATTATTAACACTGGTTGTCGTTCTGAGAGGAACCCATTTGGGGCAGAAAAGATTGGGCTTTTCTGCACACTCAACTTCTGATTTTCTTGGCAGTTGATCCACAGGTTTTAGCACGGTTCTTCTGCACTTCTGCCCTCCCTCTAAATTTTCACAATTGCAAGTGCTGGTAAGATGTCACTTGAAGACCAAGCCCTATGAGGAAAGGCTGAGGGACTTGGGAATGTTTAGTCTGGAGAAGAGGAGGTTGAGGAGGGACAGGATTGCTCTAGTTAATTATTATTATTATTATTACATGGGATTTTTACCCCGGCCACCCCCGAAGGGCTCTGGGCGGCTTACAGAGTATTGTGTGTGCACACGCTTTCTAGAATCCTAACTATGGCCACAAATTCAGGGGGATGGGAACCCTAACAGATACCCTCTGAAGGCTTTTTCCCACAGATGTTCTTGCTTCTCCTTCCGTCTTTTTTCCGGGCAGTCACATGCCTCTTTGTGCAGTTCTTTCTTAGAGGGGGGACTTCAGTTAGCTGGCTTCCACAGCGGCCCCTGCTGGCTCGTCGGGCTTGCTGTACGCAGGCGATGGGGATTTTGTCCTTCCGGCTCCAATCTCTCCAATGACGCCGGGCCGTTGCTGACCTCCGACCAGTCGTTGTTCTGGGGGGCCGTCTCTTCGCCGCTGCTTCTGCCGCTGTTTCGCCACCATTGTTGTTACCGGTGCTGCTATTTTCTCTCTGGAGCCAATAGTTCTTCCGCTTCTTCTAGGGGAGGGTACCCCCCTGACCAACTAAGGCCAGGTACCCATTTATCTACTCGCCATATAGGGCTTTCGAACAGCTGGGTTGGCTGAAGCTGGGACTAAGGTCGGGAGCTCACCCTGACCGCGGTGGGATTCGAACAGCCAGACAGCAGTTCGAGATAGTTACACTTTGCAGGTGTTAATCACCTGCACCACCACTCCCTAAGCATTTGCAGGGCTGTCACTTAGAGGAGGGCAGGGAGCTGTTCCTGTTGGCAGCAGAGGAGAGGACTCGCAGTAATGGGTTTAAATTAAGGGTGGGAAGGTACTGGCTGGATATTAGGACAAACATTTTTACAGAACGAGTTGTGCAACAGTGGAATCAGCTACTTGGGGAGGTGGTGAGCTCCCCCTCCCTGGCAGTCTTGAAGCAGCAGCTGGACAAACACTTGTCTGGGATGCTCTAGGCTGATCCTGCATTGAGCAGGGGGTTGGAGCACATGGCCTGTAGGGCCCCTTCCAACTCTGTGAGTCTGTGATT